CTAACAAGAGTAAGAGAAAAGGAAGAGAAGAAAATATCTTCATGGTACAAATAACAGGAATAATGACGAAGAAGCCAAAAGTGATGGGGATGATACATTTTGTTTAGAGTGCCCTGAATCTTAACATTCATTAATCTTACATTTTGAGTATTCCTGGAGAAACATGGATTCAGTGCACTATCTGCAAGTTATGGGTCCATGCGCAACACTGTGCAAATGGTAAGATTTTGTTCCATTGATCCAAAAATTGCACCTCTGATTTAGAAGACTAATTAGATAATTCCAAAAAAGTGATCTATTTCGTTAAAAATATATAATTATATTAGTTGAATTAGTCAAGACTGCTTTTTACTTTTGTATATTATTAAGTTAAGTTTTCTAGTTTCAGACTCTAAAAATATTATGTGTTTAGTTGTTCAGTGTTTAGTTGAAAATTTTTTAAGTGTATGATTGCTTATTCTAATTTATAATAATTTATGATGTACTAGCTGTTCCCCGCGACTTCGCGCGCGTGGAGTTATTTTTGGCGGAACCCTAAAATAAAAGAAGCCCAAGTTACTCCTTATAACATCAGCTATCTGCCAGTGTGTATAAATATTGATACTAATATTTATACGATACTAACGACACTCAATTGTTTTGCCTTCCCGGAACCCCTCCACTAACACTTAAACTTTATGGTATGGTATTAAAGTTCAAATTGACTTTTAAGTATTATTACGAATCTTTTGTATGGGAATATAGAAAAGAGTTGTTTTTAGACTTTTTCAGGCAATTTTTTAAATTTTTCTCTCCGTAAGAACCACCTTCGCACTTCTAGGAATATTGTAAAAAAAAGAATTAGCGAAGTCGGTTCAGCTGCTCTCGAGATTTGCGCTTAGCAACACATTCAGCGATTCATTTTTATATTATAAATATTTAAATTGGCAGGATTAAAAATTTAAATGTAATAAAATTACAAATACTTCTTATACTTTTTATCATATTTATTCCTATAATGTGTGCTAATTATTTCATAGGTCAACTTACCCCAAGTGACAAGTTAACCAACCTCGGGCATGGGGTAGGTTGACTCATATTTCGTGTTCTACAGAATTAAGCTTATGCACTATATCATAATTGATTGCGAGCTTTTTGGTATTTTTTTCTGAAGCTGAATAGTTTTCCTATCAGATGTATTGATTTTTACTATAATATACTTCAATACAATGAAAATACAAGCGTCTTCACTGAAATCTGGTCAACCATCCCCGGTCTCCCCTACCATTTTAATCTAATTTTAGAAAAGTTTAACTTCATCTACTACTTATTTTAATAGCAGCTTAATACACACTGTTTTACACTTCATTATATTCAAAGAATATTATAATATTTAAATGTCGAGTACTACCTATATCGAAAAGTAATAAGTTTATCTTATTTTTTAACCATACTTTCAATTCACAAAATTATATTATTTATACATCAACACTCGGGTGTTATGATTGGGGACCGCACAATAAGCAATTTAATATCTGGAACGCACCAATTTATTCGCAGTCGCACCGCCCGTTATGTCAATATAAAACGTAATAACATAATATGACTTATTGAATGTAAATGTGACATATATTCAATTTTTAACCAAGTTCAAAAAACGATGTAATATTTTCGTCTCGTTTTTTTTTCTGTATGTTTACCGATTTCTCAAAAATGGTTAAACTGCATCAAATAATTATTTTATTTATTAAATAGGTAGTAAAAAAATCATACATCCATTTTGAGGAAAAATAGGGAATGAAGATTATAATGTAACTATTTTAACGATATTCTAATTTTTGCCTTAAACTTGTGATATTCCTCAGACCACTCAAAAATAATCAAGCTTTTAATAAAAAATAGAACCAACTTTAAAACAGCATGTGTGATGTTCCACGCGGTAGAAGTGAACCCTTCAAACGAAATGAAATATAAATCAAAAATATTTCAGACAAGGAATGTGTGCCCAAGCACAAGTGCACTCACTATTCCGTCAATATCATAGTTCGATGGAACAGCAATCATACGCCACTGGAAACAGATCCGACGCAGGACCACCGGCTTCACGTGCTTTCCGAGGTAAGTGTGAAACACCGCCAACTTCGTAATTCCACGCTGCTTCTGAGAATTTCTTGCCAGAAAACCCAATAACTGATTTGGGTTCAACCCGGAATTCGGACCAGTGACCACTTAATCAGCAGTCGAGCTTACGACTACAAGATCAACGAGGCAGTTATTTATGATAATTGTTGGATATAACCAGAAACGATATTATTAATCGGGACTATTTATGTTCAATTTCTTCAATTAAATATTTAAAAATGTAATTTTAGTACTATTTAATTTATAATATTTTTTCACGAGAGGCAAACATATTATGGTGAAAATAATTGGTACAGCAAAAACATATTTGTGTTAATCATTTCGAGAAAAGTTGAAAAATTTATACTATCTATTTTCTACAGACTTCAAACAGGAGAAGGTACTCAATTTCACTGTATGTTTTTCTTTTTTATGTGTGTTACCTCATAACTTCTTTCTGGGTGAACCGATTTCGATCATTATTTTTTTAATTTGAAAGCTGATGCTTCACATGTGGTCTCTTATAAATTTGATCAAGGTCTAACCAATAATTTTTGAGTTATTCTTAATAATTTATATTGAAGTCGGTTGTACAAAATGTTTAATGTTTAATTGTCTGTAATGTAAGTGCTATTAGCCTATATGGCTCTTACAGCTTCATCTGATATAGGGCTCGCGTCCTGAAAGGCCGCCTGCTATTTAAAAAGGGAAAGAAAGGCAATGATGATGAGGATGATAATGATAGTTTATGATTTGGTATTGTTATCAATCATCATGTCCTCTCTGTTGAGGTTTTTTGAGGTATCTAACCGCTGTCCGAGTGGGGATATGCGAACCCCCGCCTCTGACTGCTTAGCTTCTGTCGGTCGATGTACGTGTCGGACGATATTAATTTATACTAAACATCCAAAGCTGAATATCAAAGTTCAATAGAACTGACAATCATCACTGACGGTTCTAAAATAAGATCAGGTACCGGCTCCGGGACCTTCTCCGTGGACTTAGATATACATTATAGGTGAATGTATGGGTATAATCCAAGCATCATCAGCAAAGTGACTAAGAGAATTAAAGAATAGTTCGATGTAGGCCCTGAACAATAATGTTTTGAACTCGAGGCTAATCTATGAATGCTTCAAACTTTTTAACAAGGTAGGTGAAGCAAATAATAGCGGTAATGATGCCGCTGACGACCTAGCCTACAGTGGCTCAACACGGAGGGCAAATTCAAAAGTTGGGATAATATTCCGCAGTATACATAGGTCACTCAATAAGTTTTGAAATTTTCGATATTTAAAAATGGAACTCACTCGTGTTATATGTTTCTAAAAAGCAAATTTATTTAAAAATAGAACTCCATAAGCTAATTGCTCAATATTAAAAAAAAAAAAACAAATTTCTATTAATTTTCCTGCAACGCTTTCCGCGCTTTTCATTTAAAACGATGGATCTTAACCGTGAACATTTACGCGCTATGATATATTATGATTTTAAATTTGGTTTAACTGAACAATTAAGTTTACAACGGTTACAATCAGCATTAGGGGCTCAGCTCCATCACGCGCAATAATTTTTAGGTGGTTTGCTGAATTCAAAAGGGGTAAAATTAATCTTAAAGATGACCAAAGAACCGGGGCCCCGCAAGCAGCAGTAACGGCAGAAAATGTATGGACTACTGAAATGTTGGTGCGAGAAGACCCACTAATCACATACACGGACATCGAAAAAATTGTAGGCATTAGTTCGGGGAGCATTCATACCATCCTACATCAACATCTTGGAGTGAGGATGCTTTGTTGTCAATGGATCCCTCGTTTGCTCTCTGAAAGCGAAAAATAGACTCGTGTGGATTGATGCCATGAAATGCGTCTACGTTTTGAAAACGGGGTATCCAGGCAAAGACCTTGCAACGTCGGCTAAAATGGTGGCTAGCTTTTTTTTCGCGGAGCGGACATTTGTCGACGTCAATGCTGGAAAAATGTAGGTCAGACAACACTGAATGGTATACTACAGTTGCATTTTGTTGCAGTTTGAGTAAAGCTTTTCAAGCTGTACGGGAGAGAAGACCAAGACCGGGCTTCGGGGAATCGTGCTGCATCACGATAGCGTCTCTTCACATACCTCCATTAGAACAAAAGCATTTATTGAGGAATCTGGTGTTGAAATTCTAAGTCACCCACCCTACAATACTGACTTAGCTCCTTGTGATTTCTTTTTGTTCCCAAGAGTCAAAGAAAAAATAAAAGGCAATTTTTTTCGCAAGCGCTGAAAATGGCGTGGCTGCCTACGAAGAAGCGATTTTCGACCTGTCAGATCAAGACTGGCAAAAGTGTTTTCAGAGTTGGTTTAGGCGAATGGAACTTTGTATAAAGGATGATGGAGAATATTTTGAAAAGATGTAAAATAAATATTAATTGTATCTGGAATACTTTTTGTATATCTCAATAAGTATTAGAGACCTACGTAAAAAAGGAATATTACGCAATAATTACACAAATAATAACAAATGAAGTTCGAAAAGAAAAAGCATAAGAAAACATTCTTTTTTACAAAAGCATTTACTAGGTATACTATTTACTAATGTTTGGACACAAACATTAGTAAATAGTACCTGTGCGTAATAATTACAAAAAAGAAATTAAACCTTTTTTTTGGGTTTCTCTAAATTAGTCCCTGAGTGTGTCGGGACTCTGAACCATGGTTCAAATTTCAGTCAGTCACATTTATACAAAAAAACAAACATTTTTTGGGTATTGCACAGAGGCATTCACCTGATGATACAAAGCAAATGTTATAAGATCGTAAGTACTATTTCATTACATTTAAGTGCCTTGGGCCTTGATAAAAATCTGTGTGTGTTGACACAGTACGTAAAACAGTAAAAATTATAATATGCATACCTCCGAAAGACTTTATTTGAAGTCCATTCTGGTTGGTCATTACTGGCCCTCGGTGTCGGATTATTTCCATTACTAGCACCCCAAGGTCGAAGTGGATTTGTGTCTTCTTCAGTGGCACTGTTATACCCTGGTAATCTTGTGCTCCCCATGTGCCATGAATTGCCCCTGTATAATAACGAAATGAAAATACTAAATACTTTAAGGAGTCGATTAACTAAAGTAAAATTTAAAGATCAAGCCACCAGGAACCATTATGAACTATATAGTCATTCCATTGAATTTTGTGTGATAAAGGCAAATCATAAATAGTTTGGAAAATGCACGCCTTATGAGCGTTTCATTTAATTTTGATGAAAAAAATAAATTGTATTTGTGACTTTTAAAATATATTATGTACGTGTTTTAAATTTAGCACTATTATTTTAATAGGTAGTGTCACCTACAGGGAAAAAAATTAATAATGTTTACCAAAAAGTATAAAAAGTATAAAATCTATATAGGCTGTATGGTACATTTGTCCTTTGTCTATCAAGGGCTAAGAAAACTATGAAAGCGTCTTCAAATTTTTAATAGCAATAAAATTTTAAAATTATTTTATCAACAAACTACGCGTACTAGGCTATTGATATGAAATAGGGAACCAGTTGATGTAATTCTGAAGCTAATAAAAATCCGGTCTCGATACGTCTATTTTTTCGGCAGTTATCGTGACTACATACAAAATCAACATCCGGACTTCCACGTAAACTTTTTTCAAACCGTTTTTTTTTCAAAACAATATAAAATGATGTTTTAGTATATATAAGATGGAGTAATTAGAGTGTTTTCTATATAGTATGAGTAGCCGTATATTATACGGCTACTGATACTATCGTATAAGTGCAATATCGTTATGATAGAGACATTTTAAGAACACAAAATTGCTTGACCTTGATGTGTCGAGAGCAATGCATTATCTAATAACGCTTCGCGTTATGAGGCGTGCAATAAGTCAATCTTAACTTCTTTGAAATGTAATGAAAAATAAACCTCGTATATATTCTTCACCAATTTAAGTTGACTTAAACTTAAGGAAAACAAAACAAAATATTGTCATTGCATTAAAAAAATATTTAAAATCAAGTCGTTACATTTTGTAACACTCAAAATATTTTACCTAACATAGACGGGTTCAGAAAATGTATAAACATGTCTACAACTTTACTCGTCATGGTCGATAATATTCTTAAATGTGAAATTATTTTATTCCTTTTAGTTCTTTGAAGTTGGCTTTAACTTGTTATTAAAAGTTACTTTTTACCCTTATAAGTTAGAATAGTTACATTAAAAATTTCATACTCTATTTGCCACCTTTAGGACCAATCCTTAAGTATATGAAACAAATAATCATCTAAATTGGTACGACAATTGACGAAAATATTTTTTTTGAAGTCCGCTAACGACATTCTCATGTTACACCTATTTTCAATGAAACAGGTATTTTAAAAACGTCAGAAACCATACCTCGCAATTTATCAATACATGATTAGTATTGTACAAGCACCATTACTAATCCCGCTTATTATTCTACAGCTTTCCGATTTTGTAATGAGATGATTCTTCCACTTTTCGTGACTGTAGTATAGTTTAAATTTAAGTGACTTGTGACCTCTCGAAGGTGACTATTTTTTTTAATGTTGAGACAATTTATAAGTTGGTGAATCTATCTGGTTCACCATTTGCATATTGGAGTGTATGATTTGTGTATATTAGGTAAACCATACAACTTCGGTGGTTTGGCACATAGTGTTATTATCAAATTCGTCTAGATTGTACGTATTTTCATCCAACAAAAATTGTATTTTAACGGGTGTCTCATAAAGACATAACTATATCAAGCGCGAAAGAGATGGTATTATAACGCGAGGTGGGGTGTGGATAGCGCTAGTTAGGTAGTGTAGTACTAGAATTTTCAGTTGATATCATGCCGTACACGAGAAAGCAACGCACTTTTTTCGAAAATGGTATTTTTTTATAGAAGTAGGGGCAAACGAGCATGCGGCTCATCTGATAGTAAGCGACTACCACCGCCCATGAGCAACCGCAACACCAGGGGTATGGCAAATGCGTTAACGGCCTTTTAGAAAGGTGTAAGCTCTTTTCATGAAGGTCCCTAAGTCACATCGGTCCGGAAAAATCGCCGGCGGTAAACAATTCCACAGAGAAGTTGTACGAGAAAAAAAACTGCTAGTAAAACGCACAGTCTTGGACCACAAAGCATCGAGATGGTGAAGATGGTATCGTGAATTTTAACGCGATGTGCATTCGTGAAATTTGGCGGCTGAAATTAATCCGAACAATTCCTCAGAACACTCCCCCCGTGGTAGATTCGATAGAAAATGCAAAGGGATGCAAGATACCTACGCAGCGCCAGTGTATCGAGCCGATCAGAAAGAACTCGGTCGTCGACGATTCGAACCGCTCTTTGGTCGTTCGCTCATTTGCGTGCGTCGTCTTTTTCGACTTCGCTACTATTTGAGGAATATTGCTGGTGCCAAGCAATGTAACCATACTCTCGTGGATCTAGAGTTTTAACGTTTCCGGTAAACACAGTGGGAAATAGACCACCTGAACGACTTAGAAACGCAAGAACGACAGAAAACATTGAGTTGGTGACCAACTCTGCAGAACGTGAACCTCCGACTGAGCATTAGAAAACATCGAGCTAAATTAGGACTATCAAGAGCGACGGTGCACCGCATATTGCTTTCTGATTTACATCTCAAGGCATACAAATTTCAAATAGCACTGGCTGGGAATGACTGATTTAGTGACTGCACACTAAATCAGGCATTCCCAACCAGTGCTACCAAGACCTTAAATATGGTCCGCAAAAGATTTAAATATTTTACCTACCTAATCGTTTTAAATAACACATATATAATTTATTCGTCATGCGGACAGTGCAATACCGGGCGTCAGGTTAATGAGTACCTACTAGCTTTTACAATAAATACACAAATAATACTGTTAATGAAAATGACGACATGATTGCGGCGTTGTCGTACGCCGGTACAGCAAAAAATTGTTAACAACACGTGCACCGATCAGGCCACACGGTGCGCCACTCGATTTCCCCCACCGCCCCACTACTCGACTTGTTTTGCAACGGATATAAAATGACCGCGTAGCGACGGAGCGGGCACCGGGCAGTCTTGGCTCTGGCGTGTCTCTGTGCACTGGTTATACCAAGCTAGCTTATCGTAGACGCTCACGGATACTTAATTTGATATTAATTATTACCATTAATTATAAGTGCCCTTGTGCAATTTATAATTAATAAGACTAAATATTATCATGTAATCCCTGACGTCTTATGTCAGCATGGCCGACCCCTTTCTCCTACAAATTTTTCTTTTCAGTTTATTATATAATTGTTAAAAGTTGTAATTATAATTTATTGTTAGATTAACATATTTTTTTACTGCTCCTCTGCTACCTACAAAAAAAGTTGGAAAACCCTGCACTAATTGAATCTGATATGTTTAATGACTGAATTTTGTCAACACAATGTTGGAGAGCTTTGTTAATTACGAGACAATATTGCCATTTCTGGGGAGAGTCGTAATTCAGCCGTGCTCCACCAGCGTCCATTAAATAGCACTAAAGTTAGTGTGAGTGGCTATGTCAGAAAAATGTATTAGTGATCCTTAATTTTTCGAGAACGCAAGAGGCAAAACGGTAACTGTTACTTCGGTGCGTTATGTGAACATGATCCGCAACTTCGTCCATTCCGAGCTTCAATATTCAAAGACATTATATTTAATTCAACATTATATTCAATATTCAGAGAAACCTCTCATACAACTAACAACTCGATAGAAGCACTACACGAACTGTTCCCTGGAAAGGTTATTTCGAGGAGAGGTGATATTGCATGGCCCCCAGGAGCCCAGACCTAACTACATGCGAATTTTTTTTTCTTTGGGGTTATTTCAAGTCAAATGTATACGACAATGCCACTCAAACTTTAGCGGAGTTGAGGGCAAACATCATAGAAAAATTGCATCGATTTTTTTAATTTTGTGAATTGATTCTTACCAATAAACCGTTTTAAAACAATTATTTCCTCTCTGATGCATAACCCGCAGGGTTATACATTCGGGTTATGCATCCCTATTAAGAGAAGGCGATCTAAGCTTTAGTTGTTCAACGATTAAAACGACCATGCCCAAATTGCAACTCCATGTCATATGATAACTTTTTAAAAGTATTTATATGATATCTAGATTTAATGTCATATAAAGCACCGGTTCAAAAGATATTGGACATTAAACATGATAACTTGCTACTGGTTTTTTTATACATTTTATCGTTTACAGACAGCATTGCTATTAGTTTTTCACTAGGAACTTCATGATCATCACATAAGCTAAGATCAGTGTTTTTTTATATACTTATCTGTATACATAAACATAAACATGTCAGTTATTTGGAATTATCTAGTCTGTCTCCATTATACGTGAAAACAATTTGGTTAGATACAAAGCTTTAAGTACTCAAGTAAATAATAATATGGAAAGAGACCAAATATGTACTCATGACAAACCGGAGTTTCTAATGAGATTATAAAAGCACATAGCAATAAAAGTTTCACCCCCCTACGTAGGCAGAGTGAAAGAATGAGTGACAGTCATTTGTTTTTTGGAATGTTTTTGACTTGGAGCTAAGTCTTTTGCGCCATTACTTCATTAGATTTTTGTTTGAATTATATTTCTTTATTTGAAGCCTAGATATACTTATACACTACCACAAAGTACTTTTTTACTTTTGAGTGTCTGGATAAATCATTTAGATCTTTATTCAACTCGTTGATGATTCAAATGTAAAATAATAATCGATATTGGAATCGATTACTTAGATCAATTGATCAAAAAAAAGATTTTATTTATCATGCCAATTATTTTGCCCCGAACTAAACAAAGCCTAAGATTTTATAATTTAAGAGACTGTCAATGAGGGATAGGTGAACAAATAGTCCCACAAATAGCGTTTGTAAAAAACTAGTCTGTCTCTGGCTTTTGATAACAAAAATGAATGCTTAACTGGGCCATGTTTTTTTCATCTAATGACGTTTATTATAAAATCACATTTTTATTTGGTTTTGTTGTAAAGCAGTATATTAT